ATCTTTAATACTCATTCCGCAGTATTTGTCTGATTCACCGCGCTTAAATATGATTTTTTGAAAACTAATGAAGGTTGTGTCTATTTGGTAACAAAATCATGAAATTCTCAGATGAAACTTCGATTTCGAAGAAAAAATAGACAGGCCAGGCGGCCTATCATTTTCAAGCGGCCTGCCTGTGACAGGCGCAGGCCTCAAAATTGTGGCCTGTGCCTGTCACAGATAGGCAGGCCGGCAGGTCTCGTGGCCTGTTTGGACCTCTGATATATACTGTTATTTGTGATGAGAAACATGACGAGCCAGAGCAAAGATGAATTATTTCACCTATCACGTAAAGTTTACAGCAAATATACTTTGTCACTATCGTTGGAATATACGTTTTTGATATTGTGACTGTATACGAGGCTCTCATTTAACTCATGTCTCGTTCTTTGAAATCGCAAGTTGGAAAAAGTGAAAATTGTCGGAGTACAAGAAAGAGCGTTATATTTGCTTGAATGTGGAGTATTGCGCAGAAAAATGTTTATTCCGCGAAAACAAAAATAAATTTTTCTGCATGAAAACAACTCATTTCTCGCATCAAACAAAAATAAAACTGCGAAGAATAATAAGCGCCATAATTAAGGGTTGTTTACTTTCGACTATGATTTATACTGGGAAGAATGATAATACCTCGAATAGATCAACAACGAAGGATGTCAGTCCTCGAGGTCTATGGAAGATCCACCAATTGAAAAGGCTTATTTTTTCTCTAAACTCTCGTTAACATAATTAATAAACTGTTACATCATCGTTTAAAAAATTTTCACTGAATGATTATAACAACTGCTCAGCTCGGGAACTGATATCAATAAGCAACTCATTTATCGTCAGAGACGAATAAAAATTATAATAAACTAATGCAGACGGAACTGATTTTGTATATTTACTTAACTTTTATATAGTAAAGCTAATTTCATTTAGTACGACGAGCATCGCACAGTTGGGCGTGTTTACGACAAACTTTTCTATAGAATCTCAATTCAGGCCAATAATTCATGAGTAGAAGAGAAATTTTTCATGGTAAATAAACAACAAAAGCAAAACGAGTGAAACTTGAATCAATAAATTTATTTTTTTGGAATGAAATACATTAGTGCATCGATTTCTTTTCTACTTCCGAGTATTGAAAAACATCATTGTTCACCTAGTATATAAAGGTTTCGAATTTGCAATTGTTTTTCAGTTTTCTATTCTCAATCGTACATCAATACTCAATACAACTAATTAAACGAACAATGGCTGCTGCTGTTGCAACTCAAAAAATGTTCGATACTGGTTTATTCAAAAGTTATTCAACTACGACTTTCAATCAATTAGGTCGTGTAAATCGTATTATTGAATGTCATGGCGAAGGTGAACAATCAAAACGAATTGAAAGCATCATTGATAATTTGGCACACGTATTTATCAAACATAAAATGCATGATTTATTGGGTGTTTCTCTGGTACACAATCATTTTTCAATTGAATGATGGTGAATATGTTGAAACAGCTGTTAAATCTATCGATACCGACGTTGAACAATTGATGGCCAATTATTCAACTAATGGCCACTCATTTGCATTTCATACCAAGGCTTCAACATCATCATCAATGGACAGTGCTGTACCATACATGTGAGCATATGACAAGACTACAAATGCCTATTTTTCAACTCAATTTTTTGATGGAAACAACAATAAAATTGTTGAACGTTTGACAAAATTGTGCGATCGAACTAATTTGATCGAATTTCTCAATGAATATAAAGTTGAACTAATGAAATATGGTTTAGAAAATGATCTTGGTTTGTTTTTGCTTTATCAAGATCTTGTCGAACACAACAAATCGGCTGAAGTTTTCTATGAAGTGACAGATGTCAAAATTCGAGAACAAGTTTTGTTCGTTTCACCAAAGGGAAGTGTACAACAACTTATGGAACATTATGGTCATAACTGTGTTCGAAATACACATTGGACAATTATTCAAAATGATGATGGCTCAATAAGCAAAGCGATCGGTGGTTGTATCTGTGGCATCGATTGTTGATTTAATTCAAATTTATTATTCTCATTCATGAACTTTTCATCCATAAGCTTCTTATTATATTCATGATCATTAATTAATATCTAACATTACCTTTTCTCTCTCAATATTCCGAATAAAATGATTCTTTTTAAATATTCTAAGATTTCTAATTGTCATTAAAATAGACATATCAATCAACCGAGTTTTGTTTTTTATCCAATTCACATTTTATTCTGAATTTAGTCACTACCTCTCACATGAGATCAATTTGATTAGATCTATGGAATGTTGTAAATTCTATCAACACAATCATGTTCGCTATTTGCTGAATAGTAAACAATCATCTTTGACGGCTCAAGAGTCATGCTTCTAATGAGCACACAAAGAAGATGAGTCACATGACCAAAAAATATTCAAATCATGGATGAAAACTGAGAAAACTCTAAATTCAATATAGGTATCTAAATAGAATTGATAAAAGCAACGTTTTCAAGAATGGTCCGATGGATTGGACGTTGATGTGGACACAGATGTGGGTGAATGTGGTTGGGTATGAGTGTTGGTATGGCTGTTGTCCTGAATGTAGGCATTAGATCCTATAAAATAAACTCCCACACTCATACCAACTTTCAAGTTCATTAAATAAATTCATTTGCCTGATTCTAACAGATACCTTGAGAAAATATTTAGAAGTATGTATAAACGAGTCCGACTTGAATAGCGATTGTTCGAATTAGTATGAGACTTGAGAAGCTTGCATATCTATGAATTGATAATGTTTCATAGTTCTCTAGTATTTAGGATTATTCATTGGTTTGTTCAAGCTTTATAATATTTTTTTTTGCTACCTATTCAAGTGATATGAAAGTTCTTTACTATCTATTACAATATACCGAGTGGTTCAGGTTAAATGACGGTGTCTTTGATTTCTCTATTTCGTTTTACTATCTCAGTCGTTTCTCTTTTTTTCATCAAAAGATGTGCCGCAAAATTCTCTACAAAAATGGCATATTTCAATTAATTAGTATAGCTTTCATTATTTGATAAACGCCTAGAAAACTGTTTTTTAGAATTAGTGCAGCTTTGTATAAAGGAGCATTTAGGTGTAATACTTCGTATAACAAAGAAATTATCTATTAGCGATATTCAATCCATTATTTTGGGCAATCTAATGCTCAAAGACCGTGGATCAGCAAAATCGTCTCCTTCAAGCCATCGAGCCAACTCAATTCAGAATAAATTCCTTCCAAGAATTGATTAAAAATTGCTAGTCGATGAATTCTTCGTTATACGAAGCATTACACCGAAAAGCTCTTTTGAGAAAGCGGTATTCATTTTTAAAAAACAGTTTTCTAGGCTCTTATCAAACAATGAAACCTATAATAGTTGACACAAATATTCCATTTTGTAGAGCGTTTTCTAGTACATCTTTTGTTGAAAAACAAAAGGAGAACCGGCATAGATATCAAAACGAAATAGAAAAAATAAAGACACCGCCATTTAATCTGTGCCATCAGCTAAACATTGAGATACAACCGATACATTGTATAATAAATTAATGCCATTGTTTTCTTTGATATCGTATATGTCTCAGCTTTCAACTTATAACTGTTTTTTTTTCTTCATGTAATAATAATATCTCTGTAGTACTTTGTGCAGTATATTTGAAAAATTTCGGAAATCAAATGCGTTTACCATATAATTCATCTAATTGTTTCTATTTATAAACTTTACTTTCAGTCCGCATTATTACATATGGCATAATATATTGGTGTATACAAAATGAACATTCATATGGATGATTGAAAAATGATAAAGCTACGATAGAGCATATCTGTATGTTTCAATGCTCTTCTATTTGAGAGAAGCTACAGAAAGATGGGTATAAGAAATATATTAGTGCTGCACGACAGAATCTCAAGTAAATCGAAACTTCAAAAAAAAAACAATTTCATATTGGTTTTGATAATCGATACGATAAGACCCGTAATTTACATGGCTGCAAGTATTTCCGATTATGAATAGAATAATCAAAACCTTTTGGAATAACCCATCGCTGGTGTAAAGATTTGCTTTTTCACAAAATTTCTAATACCTCATTACACATTAAAATATTTGGATGAATCATCACACTCTATTCTTAATTTATATGCAGTATCTTTGATTTTTATGAGACAGACTTACATCTACTGAAGACTATTGGTCTTACTTTTCACAGCATCTAGGTAATTTTTTTTCTTAGCCCTTCAATGATGAATTTTGTTTTACAGAAAAAAAGTTGGATTTCCACTTACAAAATCAAATATAGTTGAAAACTATAAATCATAATTTTTCATTCAGACATAATGCAAAAGATACAAGATGTTTTCTTTTTTTGAAACAATAGAAACAAAACATATATTCACGAAGTATAGCAAGCAACAATTGAATAACATATGAGAAGAGACGCTAATGCAAAAAGTCTAAAAATGTAAAACTCCTCGAGTGAATAAGTTTCCTTTCTTGGTCTTCGACTAATGTGTTCACATTAGAACACACGTTTTGTAAGTTTTTCTATTTGTTATTTAAGATACAAGAGGTGGAAAATGTCTAGTAGTAAGTCTAGTTGCCTGATGAATCAATGTAGGACGACATATTGTAGATTTTTAAGTACTAGATGTTCCTATAAGATTTCACGAATAAGTTGTAAACGATAATCTACAAATTTCCGATCCTTTCCAGTATTGACTGAATAAATCAAATAGATATAATCAACAACGATGAACTGCACGGAGCTAAGCATGTATATTATGTCTATAGACTATTTCATAACGTCTATATATGTGTCACATCTTTATTGGAATAAAAGTCTCACTAGAAATCTTAATTTTAATGTATCAAATGATTTCTTCCATAAGTCAAATTTCGAGACCGTAAATATATGGGTTCAGTCTCCAAAGAGTTAGCATGAAGAATAAACAATCTACAATACAATACTCAATATCTTTACATCAAACATACTTATAGAAGATATTACTATAGACTTTATATATTCTCTTCTATATACTGAAATATTCCCCTTGTCAAGTTTTATTTGTTAATTTCTACATGAGTGCTCGTAGCAAAAGTTCAAGTTTATGAATCTAGTTAATTCATAAAATGATATATAATTTTAAACTTATTTCTAAGAAGCATACGATTGATAAGTCTTCTGATTGACGTCATTTTATTTTTGAACAAACAATGAAATCTTAAAAGTAGTGTATTACATTATATGGAATATTCGAATTGTTCTAGAATTCTGAATGTTTTTCAATCATCAGATCTTCAATGTTGATTATAGATGAGAGTATGGATGTGGGTATGAATGCTGAGACAAGACTCATACCAACATCCATCACACATCTAAATCTGCTTATGTTAGAGTTTAAACTTTTTTTCTTACTATTGTTACATACGTACAAGTAATGTCAAAAGCATAAAAAATGTTTGAAATCTTTCTGGCATTTTATTCGTAATTTTGCATAAAAGATATTTGCTCAAAAGAATATTTACAGATGAAATTTCTTTTAAAAAATATAATTGTAAATCATTCATTAATATTTATATAGTTGCTCTTTCTACTATGATCTATCACTTGCTTCAGTTGACTCGCTATTTTTTTCATTATTTACTTGTATTTTCCTACTGTAAATATTCTCCATTGTTGTACTAATTGATTTTTCAATTCTAATTCGTTGTCAAATTGTTCACCTCTCAATCTTTCTTTAGTTACACATATCTTCTATATTCTCAATCAGCTAAATATCAGTAGATTTTCGCATTATTTATTTCGGTATTAATACGTTTTGTCAATGTTTTGTTGATGTAATTCCTTCGTATGCGTTGTTATTTCTGCACTTTACAATCATCAAAGATAATGAGATAGTTGGATTTTTTTTTCTCTGTGATAGTCGTGTAGTCAAATTACAGAACGGAAGAAACATGTGCAGAAAAACAAACGTTACTCATAGTGAGTCGTTGATCGAATGACGATAATTTTTTTCATTCATGATGATGTTACAAAAATTTTGTCAAGCGTGTGTACTGTGAATATCAAACATCGGGCAATATAGAAACATTTGAGAAAAGATGATATTTTATGAGAGGATGAAAAGTGATTTTACATCCTTTGTCGATTATTATCATGTTGAAAAGATTTTTTTTATGTTTAGTTTTCTAACTGTATTTCAGTTCTGAATAGCAAAAATTACATGATTAGTAATTGTACAAAAACAAATTTATGTTGCCTACTCGTGAATGACGCTGAAAAAAAATCTTGTTATAAGAATTTAGAATGTACCTCATAATACAGAATCACTAGAGTAGAGTTTTTACCGGCTCCTCATTCACAATTTAAATTAATCAAATCAGCGAAAGAATCGCTCAAACAGATCGTCAGATCGAAACTAAAGCTAAACTTGTTGACTGTTAATTAATAATATAATTGATTTTTGCGTGAAACTTTTATTTTCTTAATTAATTAAATTGTTTTAATCATTTTGAATATTATTTTTATTACTAAATCAGTAAAATTAACAAAAGAGAATATTATACATAGCAATCGTTTTTTTTTTAATATTTTTCAAATAAAAAAAGAATTCTTCAGTCTTAATTACATTGTTATTTGAGTAAACAATATTGAGACAAATAGTTGAGACGAATAATTTGAGTCAAAAAGTATCTGATTTGATATAATTTTAATTTTGTTCATTGATCTAATGTTTTATGTTGTGTTTCAATTACCATTCGATGAATCCGATTCTGATGTAACACATATTATTTCTAATCCTTTAGCATAATCGCCATTTTCAAATGGTTCGTCTGTCATTGCTTTGTGTTTGAAGCGAACTTTTTTTTTTCTGTCAATATTTACTCACGTCAATTTTATTTATTGTTCTTACACTAAAAAAATTTCTTGTTGTGTTTCAGTTGTGTGTTTTTACACTATAATAAGTACGTAAGAAAAGTCATGATCATAAAACAATTTTATATTGGAAAAA